TATATAATTATATATACGTGTGCTCTTTTGATCTAGTTTGCATATTTACTTTTGAATCAATTTCCTCCACTTTGATAGCTACGTCATGAGCTGCCTTCTCCGCTGCTTCAAGGCGTTGACCTTGTTTCCCTGCTTTGTCCTTGACTGCCCCAAGGTCCTCGCTCTGCTGACTTTGGCGCTGCTTCAAGTCTCTAGAGTCGTCTTCGGCAGCGGTTACTCTCTCTGTCATACTGGTCAACTTTTTTTCTTCCTCAACGAGTTTCTTCAAAAGGGCCTTTGGACTTATGGAATGGAAATAGATAGATAGATAGAGAGAGAGAGAGAGAGAGAGAGAGAGAGAGAGAGAGCGAGAGAGCGAGAGAGAGAGAGAGAGAGAGAGAGAGAGAGAGAGATCTAGATAGATTGATAGTTCTAATATTGTATTCCGTTTAAAATCCCTCAAATGCGTATTAGTTGCGTTATGAAAACTCTGGCTCGTGTATCACCTAATTCGTGAACTTCAGTGCCAAGTTTTGAGGAGAACGAAAGAAAAAAGAGATGGGGTGCTTTTTATATCAGTTAGTCTTTTCTTGTTTCCCCACAGCCTATGCAAAATCAAATATAATCTCTACGTCTGTTTCAGTTAAGGATAACCTTTCTTTTTGAAACTTGATTCAATTTTAATCTTCACAAGCACCCAGTCACCTATCTCCAGAAAAATAATAATAGACCTTCTTATTGAAACGCCTTCGAAAAGTCTTGAAGTTGAAACTCTAAGAGACTTCAGTTGACGTGATCTAAATTGTTCCTGGCTTCATTCTAAACCATCAACACATTCTGTTACAGCACAAAAATGTTGACAAGCATATTAATATTGTCTTCTTTTAAAATCCTGTCTCAAGGGATTAGATTGTGCATACATTTCTCACGTCAACTACACAGGAAGGTCCCATACTCACGTGTTGCCGTCTATGACTTGCATAAGGTGACTCTTAGACATCTGCACGTCGGGATTGGGGTTATTGAGTTTGGACAGAGCTTCTCGTCTGCTGGCAACCAGTCGTGGATGCTTTCGCGCCAAAACGCTGAGATAGTAGAGGGCCATGAGAGCAATGTTCTTGTTGGGGCTGAGGGCCATCTGGGTTACATGGCCCACAACACGAGGAGCTGCTTTCTGGGGGTGTAAGAAAGAAAGAAGTACAAAGGTGTAAGCAAGAAAGATGTGGCAAAAACTTGGCTGACATGAAAAAGATCAAGGCGCGAGCTGCTGGGGAGTTGGAGAGTCTTCAATGGTGTTCTCAGACAGTTCGCCTTACCTAGTGTCCCAAAACGGGGATTGAAGAGAGGCATAGTATTTTTCTTTGATATCTCTCTCTCTCTCTCTCTCTCTCTCTTTCTCTCTCTCTCTCTCTCTCTCTCTCTCTCTCTTTCTCTTTCTCTCTCTCTCTCTTTCTCAGTATATCCCTCTCTTTTCCTCTTTCTTAATCTCTCTCTCTATAGATAGATAGATAGATAGATAGATAGATAGATAGATAGATAGATAGATAGATAGATAGATAGATAGATAGATAGATAGATAGA